TGAATGTACAATTTTTTATTTTTACCACAAATACTAATTAATCTCTAGAATTTCCAGAAAAACCTAGCAAACTGCACCTTTTACTCAGAGATTGATTTCTCTGATCCTCAGTCAGAAATCACAGGTCAACAGCTTTCACTGCCCTGATGCACTCTTTATAACGTACAATAACTAAATAATTGTGTGATTCAGCTGGGAAAGAATGGCACCTTACTATAGCTTTGTGAAAGGTAAAGACACAAACTATCTTGGCTTTGGAATGTCTGAGAAATAAAACACAAAGCATTATTCACCTCAATAACAATCTCCCTAACCTGAAAGTCAACTCTAAATGGCATTGGCCATCTGAGCACCAGTGAACTTAGACCAATGTCACAATTGCAATCCTGCTACTTGCAAGTATTCGCTAGCTGCAGGATATAGTAAAACATCAATAGTTACTCTTTCACATGAAAAGAAAGTGCTCACTGTGTAAAGAACGTGCAAAATTAATTTAATGAAGTCCAAATTTTCTGTGATCAGTTTACAGTTTTTTAACCACTTCAATACCAGGCACTTTCACCCCTTCTTGCCCAGGACAATTTTCAGCTTTCAATGATGTTGCACTTTGAATGACAATTGCGCGGTCATGCATATGAAATTTTTACAATTTTGTTTCACACAAATAGAGCTTCCTTTTTGTTGGTATTTAATCATTACTGTGTTTTCTATTTTTTGCTAAATAAACAAAAAGACCAACAATTTTGAAAAAAAAAAAAAGCGTTTTTTCTTTTTCTGTTATAAGATTTTGCAAATAAATAATCTTTCTTCATAAATTTAGGCCAGAATGTATTCTGCTACATTTCTTTGGTGAAAATAACCCAAATCAGTGTATACTATTTAGCCTGTAGGAAAGTCCACAGACTATGGGATATACAGTATATCTGAAAAATTGACCAATCCTGATGTACTGGAGGCCAATCTCACTTCTTGAGGCCCGAAAACTCCAGGACAGTACAAATATCCCCAAATAACTGCTTTTTGTAAAGTAGACAGTCGAAGTAAGAGGTATCAAATGTTTTTTTGGAGTTGTAATTTTATGTCATAATTTTTTGAAAAAAAAAATGAAGAAATTTAAAAAAAAAAAATTTTTTTGTTCCTGGCAAAAACAACTCATATACATCTTTTGGGACACTGAAAGGCAATTCATTTACAAGAGAAAAAGGCAGCCCAATAGTGTAATTCCTTAAAACATTTGAATTGTATTAAGCCAACAATAAAACCACTTTCCCGCTGCCCTATAGTAGAAGTACTGCTACTGGGTTGCAGGGCTACGCAAAATCACGTATATATACGTGATTTGCATTTCTGGGTAGGGAGCCCCGCCCTACCCGCTCTGCCATTGGCGGCTAGGGATGTTAATCACCGAATCGTGGCTGGAGATTCCCCACCAGCACCCGGCAATTGCCATGTAAAACTGACAGGGGAGAGACCTGTGTGTAAACAACACAGGTCTTTCTCCTGCAAGGACATGCTGCTTTGTATTTCTCTGCACAGAAATACTAGGCATGTCTCCCTAGTAAAACACACACACAGCACATAATGTTAAACAGCACACAGCACACAGGTAACCCTTTGATCACCCCAGATGTTAACCCCTTCCTGCCTATGGATCTGGTAAGCATTTAATTTTAATGTAAGTGGTGGTGAATCAGCAACAAGTGGAATTTATCCTCTTGCCACCCAGCCACTGCATTAAAACGGTGGCAGGGTAGCACGGCTGCGGAAAAGCACCCGCAGCTGTCACCATTTGATCCCCAAGGGATCAATCATTCGGTTTCAGCCAGTGATGTCGAGCTGAAATCGGATGATCGGTCCCGGTCCTATCCTGTCCTGTGTTGACAGTTACACAGGACAGGATATGATGTCATTCTTCTCTGCCTGGGCACATTCCGTCCCAGAGAGAGAAGAAGACACAGTAAAAGTGAGTAAAGCACTACACATTTACAGTTAGAACACACCTAGGTCACATTTAACCCCTGATCGCCCCCCCAGTTAACCCCTTCACTGCCCTGTCACCAGTGTCATTGATCACAGTGAACAGATTTTTACTGATCACTGTATCAGTGTCGCTGGCGACTTCCAATAGTGTTAGCGCCCCCCCCCAGATAGCGCCAGTTTGCCCGCTAGTACACCAGTAATCCCATTTAACCCCTTGATCGCCCCCCCAGTTAACCCTTCACTACCCTGTCACCAGTGTCATTGATTACAGTGAACAGATTTTTACTGATCACTGTATTAGTGTCACTGGCGACCTCCGATAGTGTTAGCGTCAGTTAGCGCCCCTCACAGATAGCGCCAATTTGCCCGCCAGTACACCAGTAATCCCATTTAACCCCTTGATCCCCCCCCACCCAGTTAACCCCTTCACTTCACTGTCACCAGTGTCATTGATTACAGTGAACAGATTTTTACTGATCACTGTATTAGTGTCACTGGCGACTTCCGATAGTGTTAGCGTCAGTTAGCGCCCCTCCCAGATAGTGTCAGATTGCCGCTAGTACACAAGTAATCACATTTGACCCCTTGATTGCCAGGAACACGCTCACTTGCACGCTAAACCTCCATTGCTAGTATAGTGTCTGATTGGATCAATATCTTTGATCAGATCAGCGCGCTATACCAGCGTTCACATTACTATGGTATCCCCAAAAACACAGCGTTAGCGGGATCAGTCCCGACACCTGCCAGCACCTGCGTTTAGCCCCTACACACCCCCCCCCCCTCTCCCCCAGCAAGTGCAGTGTCAGTAGATAACTGTCACTTGATACATTACACACAAAACCGCAGTGTTCACAGAATCAGGCTTGATCTCTGTTAGCACTTGTCGGTAAATTTTTTGTAGCGGTTCAAGCAGTCCCTGACAGCCAGGCGCTCTTTTTCCCGTGAGTCGCACTAGGTACCTATAAATTTAGTGGCCAAAATGGCTGTATAGCAAAAAAAGGCATAAATTACAGTATCTATACCATAGTTTGTAGACACTATAACTTTTGCACAAAGCAATCAATATACACTTATTGGGATTTTTTTACCAAAAACATGTAGCAGAATACATTTTGGCCTAAATTTATGACTAACTTTGAGTTTACGATATATTTTTTTTATAGCTGAAAGTAGAAAATATCGTTTTATTTTTCAACATTTTCATGGTTCTTTTGTTTATAGCGCAAAAAATAAAAAGTGCACAGGTGATCAAATACCACCAAAAGAAAGCGCTATTTGTGGGAAAAAAAGGACATAAATTTCATTTATGTACAGCATTGCATGACCGCACAATTGTCAGTTAAACTAATGCAGAGCTGTATAGCAAAAAATGGCATAAATTGCAGTATCTATACCATAGTTTGTAGACGCTATAACTTTCACACAAAGCAATCAATATACACTTATTGGGATTTTTTTACCAAAAACATGTAGCAGAATACATTTTGGCCTAAATTTATGACTAACTTTGAGTTTACTATATATTTTTTATAGCTAAAATTAAAATATACAGTTTTTTTCAAAATTTTCGTGATTTTTTTTGTTTATAGCGCAAAAAATAAAAAGCACACAGGTGATCAAATACCACCAAAAGAAAGCTCTATTTATGGGAAAAAAAGGACGTAAATTTAATTTATGTACAGCATTGCATGACTGCGGAATTGTCAGTTAAACTAGTGCAGCGCTGTATAGTAAAAAAAGGCATAAATTACAGTATCTATACCATAGTTTGTAGACGCTATAACTTTCACACAAAGCAATCAATATACACTTATTGGGATTTTTTTTACCAAAAACATGTAGCAGAATACATTTTGGCTTAAATTTATGACTAACTTTGAGTTTACGATATATTTTTTTATAGCTGAAAGTAGAAAATATCGTTTTTTTCAAAATTTTTGTGTTTTGTTTGTTTATAGCGCAAAAAATAAAAAGCGCACAGGTGATAAAATACCACCATAAGAAAGCTCTATTTTTTTAAAAAAAGGACGTAAATTTCGTTTGGGTACAGCATTGCATGACCGCGCAATTATCAGTTGAATTAGTGCAGAGCCAAACAGAAAAAAAAGGCCTGGTCATTAAGGGGGGTAAATTCTCAGGAGTGCAAGTGGTTATAGGGCACATTAGTGAATGACAAATCAATGGATGGACTTTCATTTATGGACACTTTTTATTTTTATGTTTTGATTATAATTTAATGATATTAGCACTTTCCATAGACTGGGAATTAATTTATTTTTAGTGGGGTGAGCACCTTGTAAAAAAGAACATTTTTCGACAGAGTAGTTTACACTGTATAGAGCTGCTTCCCTTTTTTCTCCTGTTTTCACATTTAGGTTTGGTGTGGCGCCCCATTTGATTTTACACATGATCGCGCAATTGTCAGTTAAAGTAACTCAGCACCGTAACGCAGAAAAAGGCCTGGTCAGGAAGGGGGGTAAATCCTCTTGAGGGCAAGTGGTTAAAATATTACTCACAAGCACAGAAATCAAATGAGCATTTCTCAGAGCTACCTGGTCTATGCATAAACACCGCGGACAGCTGCGATTTCTAGCCGCCGCTATGTGTAACCTCCGAGCAAAGCTCCTTTCACTGGCAGCCTGCACATGCCCATTAATTAAGCAATGTTCCAACTCATTTCATCTGTAGAGGACTTTACCAAGAGTTGTTTTGGAGTGTTATTTGCTTTTTTTGTTTTTTAGCATTTCTTGTACACAAAACTACAAGGTAGATTCATATGATTTTTATAGTAACTGAACATTTTGTTATATAAGCATTTTAGACCTCACTGATCCAGCCAGCAAGAGAGCAATCCAGAAAAAGAAACACAGATGGGTGTTCTCTCTGCATACTTTAGCAATCATTTTGAGTTCTCAACTGCGACAGGATTGCAACTGTGCCATGGGCATTACTGAACAGAATACTGTTCAAATTAGAATATGTTCATGATGATCAGAAAAATATACAAAATGTCCTACCTTACAGATCATAATAACATGACAGTCTTCTGTGACCTTCCACTGCATCTGCTCCTCAAAATGCGGTCCTAGGACATAAATTTATTAACTAGTTTGTGGATCGGCTTGGCACAATGGTGAACTGTGTCTGAGCATTTGTACTTATGGTGGCTCCTGTGACATTCCCACTACTCATCATTAGATCATTTATGCCTGTATTTCATTTAAGATCCAATAGTGAAAAAAATGTATTTTGGCAATTGTATTTGGTTAATATATGTTATGTAATGATAATATTTAGTATACAAATTCCTTCTTTATTTCACAAGCCTTTATTTTTAGATCTTTTTTTTCACATTTACATGTTAATTATGCTGTCCAGTAAAAGTGACTGTCACAGGGGTTGGGGCAAACCATACTATTGCCAGGGGTACTTAAATCAGTTGCCTGCCATTCACAAATAACTGTTGCAGCAATTGCTCAAGCAGCCTGGCAGTTATAGTTCCTGTTGCTGCCATTTTTGTTGGACACCTTGGTACCTTTTTGCAATAATCATTTATGGGGTTATCATCCAAAATATAAACAGTATATTAAATATATATAATATACTGTATATAAATATATATTTATAAAAGCCTTTTTCAACTGTTGTAGTTTACACAATGACGCCTCCACTGGTGTGATATGAAGAAAAAAGAGAGAGAGAAAAAAAGTGGTTGTAAAAGTCAGATATGAAATCAGAACAAACACATCCTTCTATACTGTGTACATGTCTCTATCCAAAGCTGTGACTGTGATTTCTGTCTTCTGCCTTGTTCCTCTGTTATCTGTATGAGTCCCTTCTGACAGCTTTTCAGCTGACAAGGGAGGAAGCTCCAGCACACAGCCTATGATCAACAGCCACAGTTGTACTTGTTCTCTGTTGTGTAAGGAGGGGGTGTGTCCTTTCCCTCCAATCACAACTGCACAGCTCTTCTCCCTTAACTGTGCAGTGTGTAATTTAGATCCTCACCCCTGCTACTGGAGCCCAGGGGAAATCCTTTCACCTTTTTGTTTTCAGAATTATCTACAGAAGAAATGAATGCAGGTAAACATGTACAACTTATGTAGGAGGATTTGATTAATCTCTGTGTATCACCTGAGGCAAGTCACTTCACTGGGTATATGTAAGGGTTCACAACCACCTTAAGCATGTAACAGCTATGGCCATGGGTGCTGAAGCACTTGTTACTGCAGTCACCCGTTTGCTTACTTTTTCACAGTATTACATTCTATTGCTTTCACTGGACTTAAATGTACCATTTACAGTATAGTTCATTAAAAAAGTTAATAAATGATTTTTATGTGCATATTCAGGGAGGCAGTTCAAAGGGCAAAGCTGGAGTGCATAATCAGTGCAAACAGTAAAGCTGGCCATACACCAGAATTTCCTTGAAATGTTCATACTGCAAATCTGAAAAATAATTCGGCAGACCATTTGATCTTGCCATCGTTGAATCATCTAGTTTTAATTAAAAGCTGTAAAAATTTCATCCAGACCCGCTAAATTAATTTTGTGCCTAGAAAATGTGCATTAAAATATATACAATTATTCCCAAACTAAAACCGCATTCACAATAAGCCTATGCTCACACATATGCACACATTTCCAGACCTCCAGGAACCAAAAGGACCGGTCTTGTGTGGGAAGGATCAGTGGGTCAGGTGAGTATATCTTTGGTGTCCTCTCCCCTAAAACAAAACGAGCATTTGACCTGTGCAGAGCCAGCACAGCCCCACTGCATGAACCAAACAAATTTTCCCAGATTTCTGCTTGAAAAAAATTCTATTGCCATTGGTTGCCTTGAGCTATTGTGCTTTACACACTTCTCTTTCCCACATTGAATAAGGTTTCTAAATTACAACTGATCATGCGGTAAGGTGGTTCAGAAAGTAGATCTAAACAAAGTCATTAAAATTTCACATTAATTTTAACATGTCAATGTAATGTTAAAATTAATTTTGAATTTTTTAATTTCATTAAAAATTCATGACTGGTAACCCTGCCATGAAGGTAATTGTTTACAGATTTCTGGGTAGGAGATGACAGCGCTCTGTCCTTGTCTCACAATTGCTCTCTGATTTGTCTCTGTCACAAGTGCTTCCAGTGCAGACTGAAAGTGGTCATGTTGAAGAAGCTTATTGCACAGGCACATTCTCACTATCAGTAAGCCACTCATGAACAATGGCATGAAGCCATCACTGGAGCACAAGCATGCAGACACGCAGACAAGCAGGCAGCTGGAGAACAGCAGAACTGAGATAAAAAGATTAAATAAAGTTGAAAACAGTATTAAAAAAAAAAAAAAAAAAAAAAAAAAAAACTGTAATTATTTAGGCACCTTTCACATGGGCATTTCATATGTCCATTTTTCATCTGTCCGTTTACGGATGTAAAACGGACACCCATGTATTTCTGTAGACTAGCAGATGTAAACGGATGATGTTTACATCCTTTAATGTCCGCATCCATTAACATCCGTTTTTTTGAACAGAAGAAAACCCTATTTTTTCTGGATGAAAAACAGAACAGATGAAAAGCAAATGTAAACAGACAAAAACAGATGTAAATGGACAAAAAATGGATTTAAATGGATGAAAAACTAATGTAAACGGACAAAAACAGATGTAAACGGATGAAAAAACGGATGTAAACGGATGAAAAACAGATGTAAACTGATGAAAAATGGATGTAAACGGATTAAAAACAGATGTAACTGATGAAAAATGATGTAAACGAATGAAAAACTGACGTAAACTGATAAAACACTGATGGGAACTGATGAAAAACGGATGTGAACTGATCCGTTTTTTCTTGGAAAAAACGTGACTGAACTGATGAAAAAAAACGGAACACCCGTGTGAAAGTGGCCTTAGGATACCCAGTGCTTTAGAAAGCTGAATGTCATCCAATTAGGATTTACATCTGCTTTAAATATATACAATCAGGATGTGAAAGCATGCATGTTTGTAATAATGAGGAAGAGAAAAAGGCGCCTCTAAGTGTAGACATTATGAAAGAAAAATTTATTGTAAACTAACAATTGCCAATTGTTAGTTTACAATAAATTTTCTTTCATAACGTCTACACTTAGAGGCGCTTCTCTCTTTTCCTTCTTTTATTTGCATATTTTGGAACCGGCATCAAGTCCATTGTAGAGGCAGCCACAAGTGGATGGACTATTATATTCTTATGGATTATATTACCCGACTATTTTTATACTCCAGCCTATTGCTTATCATTAATTGATAGGATTTTCATGTACTGTATATCCCAAAAGAATAGTGTGTTATATGAGATTGTTGACCTTGAGCCCAGGGCCAGACTGACAACTCATGGGGCCCCCGGGCAATAGGGGATCAGGGGGCCCCTGTGTCCTTGCCCAAACTCAAAAAAGCCTATGAAAAAGGTGCCAGGGGCATCTCATGGGGCCCCCTACTGACCCCGGGCCCTCGGGCAGTGCCCAAGTTTCCAAATGGTCAGTCCGCCCCTGCTTGAACCTAAGTTTCTTTATGTTTGTAATATTTACTGAACATTAGCAGTATCAGTATTAGTATCAGTAATATGAGTATGATAAATATCCAACCAACTAAAAGGCAGTGCTAAATCTCAATAAAGTGTTAAGTGTAATGCATCTGCAAAACTCATGCAATGCTACAATGTGCACAAAGTATGAGGTCTGTCCGGAAAGTATCCAGCCATGTAATATGAAAATAGAGACATTTATTGAAGATACAAGAAATATTGATAGTGTATATAGGACAATGACACCTCAGTCCCCTTCAAAGTAGGCACCTTGAGACCTCACAGAAAATCTTGCAGTTTTTGGGATTTGGCTTCTAGTTCTCACATTGTCAGTCACTGATCTTTGTTGATTGCAGCCTGTACACGTTCAACGTTCTCAAGTATTCTGCTTGTTCTTCTGGTTGCAAGCCTTCCAGAACATGGATCAAATTTTTGCCCATCTTTGAAGCGTTTGTACCACACTTTTATTTGTACTGCACTCGTTGTATAGTCCCTGAAAGTATTCTGAATCATCCCAATAGTTTCCGTGGAGGAATGTTCAAGCCTAACACAAAATCTGGTGCAGATTCATTGTTCTACTCGCTCAGTAATTTTGAATGCGATAGCCGCACAGTACACATGCTCACTCAACAGCATCTAGTGACCACACTGACGTACTTTGAAGTCGTCATTGTTCAGGCATGTGCAATCCAGTCCACTCTCCTTGGCTGCTAGGTTACATCAATGTCGTGGAAAACCGTTCTCATTATATTAACCCTATCCCATTGCTGCCTCCCAGCCCTCTAAATGCTGGGAGGTGGAGGCACACATTCTGAATATATGACCGCTATGATTGGCAATCACAGCAGTCACATGATCAGAACTCTCCTGATCGCAAGCATGCATCGAGAGCTTTCTTGTACCCACCAGTTACTGTGCTGGGAGAGCCCAGGGAGCATGCTCTGAGCACAATAAAATGTTTACATAGGTATGCATATATGTGGCCGCTCAACTTTAATGCCCAGCAGCCGAGAGGCCACATATATGCGTTCGGCAGGAAGCGGTTAACAATGGCTGGTCTTTTTCCGAACAGACCTCATATAATAAAGCACAATATTTTATATCAAGATAATTTTTTTAAATTTAACGCTGCCTTTTAGTTAGTTTGTATGATTTTTATGTTGCTTATTAGAACATACGGCACACTGCTCTGTCTCTTGATGGCTTCTTGGTTGTGAGTGCGGTCTTTGTACCTTTGCAGATTTACCTTGTTTTTTTTTTCCATGCCTTCTTCTTCTTTTGGGATTCGTCATAAATGTTATCAAAATCTTAGAAAAAAAAAAATTTTCTGTGAGAAAAGTTGGTCAGAGTGTCACATTGCCACTATATGATAACAAAAATGAAATACAAGCAACAGTTTGTGAGTATTAAAGAGTATGTAAACCCAGCATTATATATTCCTGATTTGTGCCTGCTGTACCATATACTTGTATGAAAAAGTATCTGCTCTCTTTGTAATCCTTCTCTTGTGTGAAACCCTCTGCTTTTCTATTAGGCATGAGAGTAAAGCGTGGCGAGTTCTCTAGCTGTGTTGGGAGCTCAGCAGTGTGCTCTCCTCCAATGATCAGGCTTCTGCTCACCCCCAACCACCCACCCCCCCAACGCACAGCCATTCATTGGGAAGTTCAGTGTTCTGCTGTTTCTCATCCCCCACATCTCTGTTCTCAGCTGCATATGGAGCTTAGAGGGTATGTGATCACCTATAAAAAGGAAAAAAGGTATTTAAAATGTTTTTTATATCTACATACAAATGTTTTGCCTTTTATTTCTATTTTAAACTGAATGGGTTGTTTTAAAAGGTGAGGGTTTACAAGTGGGTAGATGACACCTCACCTATCATTCTTGAGCAGTTAGAGAGACATCTCGCCATAACATTTTGAAAATAAAAAAAAATGAAGAGCTTTTACAGCACCTATAAGTTATGCAAGCTAGATAATTACAGTTACACTCAAAAAAGTTCACATGTTGTTAATTAGCTATTGTTCCACACAGTTTATTCTACCTTACTAACTATATGTAAGTATATATACAGTATATATACAGTGAGGAACAGAAGTATTTGAACACCCTGCAATTTTGCAAGTTCTCCCACATAGAAATCATGGAGGGGTCTGAAATTCACATTGTAGGTGCATTCTGAGAGACAGAATTATGAAAAAAAATTCAGGAAATCACATTGTCTCTCAGAGTGGGAATGCACCTACAATGTGAATTTCAGACGCTCAACGATTTCAAAGTGGGAGAACTTGCAAAATCGCAGGGTGTTCAAATACATCTGTTCCTCACTGTATATATATAAATAATATATATTTATTTTAAAAAATTTTTTCATATATATACTGTATATCTATATGTAACACATCAAAGAAATGGTCAGTTTGGTCAGATTTAGTTGGATTGTCTACCAAATCCAAAGACATACTGGTAGGTTAACCAGCTTTTTTCTACATTGATCATATTATGTGAGTGTCTTTGTGTACGTATGTGACATAGGGACCTTAGACTGTAAGCTCCTTGAGTTCAGTTACTGATGTGAATGTACAGTATGTAAAGCATTAAGTAAACTGAATGCAAACATGATTCCATATCATGAAAAATGAAGACTTGTTTGGTGCAACTAATTTCTAGAAGTGATCCTTTTAGAGAATCAATTATTATATCAAACAATCATATCCTTACATGTAGGCCATCATATACTTGTAACCTGGTGCAAAAACACTATTTTTGCTGATATAAAATAGTTTGACTGGCACTGTACACAAATATACAGTGGTTTTTCTGACCTTCCCCAGTGAGGGTAACACTGAACTGGTTTGATGCTTTTCCATCTACTAGGTTTGCAGTATATGTTCCTTTATCTTCTTCACCAAAGTCTTCCTTAAGTATTTCAATAAGTCCATTTTCCTTGTCAAATTTTATTTTTCGTTTCTGTAACAAAACAAAAAGAAAAAAAAAGCAAAAAAGCAAAATATACAGGGCTTATTCAATATAACACTATGTTCTGTGGCTGTGTCCAAAGTACAGTAAAACGTGTTTGCACAGCCTTCTAATTCACACCACATAGCATATGTAGATCAGAGACATCTCCTTTTTTTCATTAAGCTTTGCAGATGAATGAAGAGATGGCATCATCACACTGGTGATTCATTGTCTACTGGGCACTATGCAGGCAGAGAGGTGAAACAAGACATTTTAAAGTTGAACCAGGAAAAACAGGATTTCGTCCCCATGCACACTGGACCTTTTTAACACAGCTGTTAGGGGCGTCTGGCTTTTTTTTTTTCTATGCACACATAGGAGTTTAGAGAGGCAGGGGTGTTTAGAGGCAGAAAAAAAACCCCACTGCCAGCAGCGTGCTCAGGAGCAGCAGCATTTTGGCAAAAAAATGCTTTACACACCTAAATGAGTTTAAATGTGCCTAAATGCGCTTTACTCTAGGTGCATTTAGCGCTTGAGTGTTAATTGATTTTAATAGCCAGAATTAATTGTTATTCTGGCCAATAAAATGAATTAATGCACAAATGCCTGATGCACCTAAACACATTACATGCGCTTACAAGCGTCAAGTGTCTTTTCGACCAAAATTCTACTGCCTGGAGGAAAGGCATCTATGGGAAATGGCCAAATGCCTGGTCTCCATAAAGTCTTTATCTGAATGGTTATTCAGTGTAACAGAGGGGTTATAATTCACAGGATTGACTAAACAGAACTAAAACGCAAATGGCAGGCTAAACACTTTCACATCTGTGCTTTTTTCTGTGCAGGGAAACATTTTGTTTTTCAGTTTGGCTTTTTAATATCCTAAGATCTTTTTCATCTTTACACTTGCATATGATGAAAGCACTAAAGTTGTGAAAAATATAGTATTCTCATAACGGTACGCAGTCTGATATTACATATACAGTTGTGTCCAAAATTATTCAACCCCCACTGAAATTGAGTGTTTTGGCCAGTTTGACATTGCTTTTGATTCATTCAGTCATCTTGCTTACATTTACATTAAAGAGGCACTTGTAGGTCAGACAAATATAACATAACAGTTATAATGAAATAACCACAAATGTCTTTTCTGTGCTCACAGCATTATCAGTTTTATTCAACCCCCAAGTGACATTCAATCTTAGTACTTAGTACAGCATCCTTTTACAGTTATAACAGCTTTTAAACGTGAAGCATAGCTTGACACAAGTGTCTTGCAGCGATCTACGGGTATCTTCGCCCATTCTTCATGGGCAAAGGCCTCCAGTTCAGTCACATTCTTAGGCTTGCGCACTGCAACTGCTTTCTTTAAGTCCCACCAGAGGTTCTCAATCGGATTTAAGTCTGGTGACTGCGATGGCCACTCCAAAATGTTCCAGCCTTTCCTCTGCAACCATGCTCTAGTGGACTTGGAGGTATGCTTGGGATCATTGTCCTGTTGAAAGGTCCAACGTCTCCCAAGCCTCAGGTGTGTGACGGACTGCATCACGTTTCCATCCAATATCTCCTGGTACTGAAGAGAATTCATGGTACCTTGCACACGCTGAAGCTTCCCTGTACCTGCAGAAGCAAAACAGCCCCAAAGCATGATTGACCCTCCACCATGCTTCACAGTAGGCAAGGTGTTCTTTTCATCATAGGCCTTGTTCTTCCTCCTCCAAACATAGCGTTGATCCATGGGCCCAAACAGTTCTAATTTTGTTTCATCAGTCCACAGAACACTATCCCACACAACTTTTGTGGTTTGTCCACATGGCTTTTGGCATACTGCAGTCGACTCTTCTTATTCTTTGGAGACAGCAAGGGGGTACGCCTGGGAGTTCTGGCACGGAGGCCTTCATTACGCAGTGTGCGTCTTATTGTCTGGGCTGAAACTTCTGTACCCACATCTGACAAATCTTTTCTCAGTTCCTCAGCAGTCACACGGGGACTTCTCTCCACTCTACGCTTCAGGTAGCGCACAGCAGTCGAAGTCAGCATCTTCTTTCTGCCACGACCAGGTAGCGTTTCAACAGTGCCCTTTGCCTTGAATTTGCGAATGATGCTTCCTAAGGTGTCTCTTGGTATGTTTAACATCTTTGCAATCTTCTTATAGCCATTGCCCTTCCTGTGAAGAGAAATCACCTCTTCTCTTGTCTTCCTGGACCATTTCTCTTGCCTTCACCATGTTTGTAACACCAGTAAATGTCTAGAAGGAGCTGAGTATCACAGTCATTTTAAAGCTGCCTAATTGGTGCTTATTATGCTTGATTGCTGCTCGGTGACATCCACAGGTGTTTTCAATACCTGATGGAAAGCACCTGTATGAACCTCTGTTCTTCAGAGTGGTAGTCTTTAAGGGGTTGAATAATTGTGGCAATGAAGAAACCACATAAGAACCATTTACTACTGTATTACATAAACAATTGATGTCATTTTAGTTGCATTTGGGTAGTTACAACGTCCTTGTAGGATTTGATTCTGAATACAATTCCAAATGTACACTATAGTCCCTAAACCCCTTTACAGCATTGGGGGTTGAATAATTTTGGACACAACTGTAATGATTGTATTATATGAATTTTTTTTTTTAATTATTCACATGCCTTTATTTACATTTTTCTGCACATTTCCGTGCAGATTATGCAAAAGTAATGCTGCAATTTCTATAGAATCCCAGCAGTATTAGAGATTGTCCCAGCCAGTCATTGTCATTTTGTTGGACAATTTGTTTGCTGCTAAATGTGGAAAAAAATAAATCAAAGCGTTTGTAAAAGTAGAATATTGCACTATTGATTAATGCACAATCCAGATTTTTAGTGATAAGCATGCCTGAGGGAAGAACCCAATAAGTCTCACAAGCTTGCATCTTTAATAACCTAAGAAAACAATAAAGAGTATCACTTAAGCTAGGTTTACACTTTACCACTGGGGTACATTGCACTAATGTAGGCGCTGTATTGTGCATTTTTGCCATACACTATATTAGGCAGCCCATTCAAAATGAATGGGCTGACAACACCCCTCAATGTCCCAGAAAAGTGCGCCTTCTTTGTCAGCGCATTGCAACACTTTAGGGCACAATGCTACAATGCATGCGTGTCGGCAAGGTGTGTTGGCGTGCCATTCAGAATGCATGGCACAATATAGCACCAATGCAAGTTACTAGCACCAATGCCAACTGTTGAACATTGTGTGTGACGGGAGTTACTTTGGGTGGGGGGCCCATGGAACCCAACTCACTTTGGAGAGGTGGGGAGACCCGTGTCTCAGCTCCCCATATCCCTCTTATGTGTAAGTCGCCCTGTGCCTGTTAGGGGTACAGGGTGATCTATCCTAATATTGTGTAGACATGTTTAGGAGATAGGTGGGGTGGTGGTTGTGGATTGTTTGGTGTTGTGTGGCTGCATCCCATTGTTCTATTGTTTGTCTTGCTTGGGAGCAAACTATTATGGGATGTATGTGTTTATGTGTATTAGCTTAGTGGGGGGAAGGGGTGTCTCCAGCAGCCCTCCCTCCTGATGGGACTGTGTGCTGGTGTGAAGTTTGAATACCTGTGTGTATCTTGTTACTAAATGTAGATTGCCCGGCCATGTGACATTATGCAGGGAGGGGGATTTGTCCCTTTAGTGTATATATCTTGTATCTGTGTTAAAATAAACTAGTCTACTTTCTGGATTACTTCAAGATTGTTGTCGTCTAGTCTTGTATGGTCAGCTGTGGTGCCTGTTGTCAGTGTTCGGACGGGGAAACGGTATTCTAATGGAAATACCCAAGTGCAGTCTGGGGTCGGTTCTGTTACATTGTGCTACCGTGCATGTTTCCACAATGCAATAGTGCCAAGCCTTATAGCAGACCTATATGACATATAAAATGCAAGGTCCATTTTTTTAATGTTTTAAGAAAAACTGTTGAAGGAAAAATTGTTAGATAATACTTACCTTTCTTCTGGATTCTGTCCTTGGCATCTAGGCAACAGTTACGTCATTTTATCTCCTGCCAGATCTAGGGAATGTAGAGTACTTCAAATCCCACTGATAGAACACTCCCAACACTGATTTGGAGAGCTCACCAATCCCCTGTAGCTCGTTGGCAGGAATAAACAGGAGTATATTATCTTTTTTTTCCCATACAATTGGTTTTTTTAAATGCTTATTCTGCCCTTAAGGAAAAAGCAGACCTAGGTATACACATCAAACTCTATAAAGGAATATGAACTTAAAAATGAATTAGTATACTAAGGCTACATTCACACAAGTGATTATTGTAACAGCAGGAATCTCTGAGCGGCTCTCAGGTGCGGTTTACTATAATGATGGGTCACCGATGGCCACAGTTATTCATTGCTCTCTGCACAGCCAGCAATTACCTGTGGTGGTACCTGGGGCCGCCAGCGACCTGTCTGTATAGAGAATGGGGGCTGGCGCACACACTCAGCCGCTGGGAGTTGCAGCAGGAAACGATTCCTGCCACTACAATTTGCATTGGCCCAAGTCGCTGGTGTGAATGTATCCTAAATGCTAGAATTACAAACATTATTTGTAAACAGTTGTAAGAATGCAATATTTTTATGAGAGAAAAGTGACCACTAAAGTGACAAAATAAACAGTTTTGCATTCTTGCCTAGAATGATCAAAAACATTATTATATTACTATATTTGAGGCAAATATAATACCGGTGTATTTTGGATGACTTTGTCGTTAAGAATCATCTCCAAAACTGCATCAGAGGACAGTTTTTCTACTTGTAACCAGAGGTGCACATCCCCATTCTCCAGTACTTCCACATTCCAGCCTGAGATTTTCTGTATCACTAAATAAATAGGAGTTAGAATGTATTAACTTCTCTCAAGATTGGTGTGTTTACAACATTCAAATTAACAATATCTACAGTACATTCTTGGTGTATTTGCATTGAGCATCTTATAGGTGGTTCAACAGGCCAATTATTTGTTTATTAAAACCATGCTTTA